GCGCCTGTTCTGTCCTCAGCTGGTGTGTCTCCCAACCTCACCATGCCCTTGCCCAACTCTCCTTGCAGGACCAGTGTGTTGCCGCTGCGGTGGCGCTCCGAGTATAACCTATTCTCCAGCTTCCAAACTCCAGAGATCCACAGCCGAGTCTTTCGGCAGTGGCTGCTCTGGGAGTACACTCTATGGTTGTGAACTGGCTGAGGCAGAGCGTACTTCCAGAGCGTACAACCATAGAGCGTATTCCCAGAGTGGCAACTTTCGGAAGACTTGGCATCCTACCTCCGTGCTTTGAAAGCCGCAGAAAAAGCAATGCAGTGGAGGCAGTGGAGGTGCCCTGGTTCTGCAGGGAGAGTTAGGCAAGGACATTGTGAGGCTGGGAGGTGCGCGAGCGAAGAGAGGAAAAGCCGCTCGTGCAACCCCCCTCTCCAGCCATGCAGAGCCCCATTCATTGACCTAGGGGCATTCCGAAGGCACCAAGCTGTGGGAGCTAGAGAGCGGCAAACAGTCGCTCATGTGGCTTGGCGATACCCCTAGGTCAGTGAGTGGTGCTGTGCCCGGCTGGAAAAGGGGGTTGCCGGGCGGCTGCTCATGAGCGTGGTCACTTCATGGTTGCTGTGTAGTGCTGCTGCAACAGCGCAACACAGCCATTCGACCCTGAGGCTGTGCCCGGCTCTTCGGGAGTCCGCTCACAAGAGAGCAACCGCCCGGCAACCCCACTCTCCAGTTGGGCACAGCACCGCTCATCGACCTAGCAGTATCCCGAAGGCGCCAAGCAACGCGAGCCTTTGCCCCCCCACCCCGTTCCTACAGCTTGGCGCCTTCAGGATACCGCTAGGTCAGTGAGTGGTGCTCTGCCTGGCTGGAGGGGGGTTGTCCAGAGGGCTTATTTTTGGGGGAGGGCTTACATTTTTGCCCACCCGAAAAATGTGGCATGGTCTTATTATCAGGACATGTTGTATTTTCGGGGAAACACGGTATTATATAGTGTAGTTCAGGATTTCATTGTCATCGTGACTAGTATTTTTTCATTGAACTGGTAGGTATTGGTGTATTGATATCTCTTTAATATGGTTGGATAATTTCTACTGATACTTAGGTTTTCAGGGGGCTTTTCCTGTTTACAAAGTTTGATAATCAATTTATATCTAATCTGGAGGTAAAAAGATTGCTAAAGAATATAAATCAGCTTTGCTCACCAATACAATTAATAGATTTGTTGAAATCTTAATTTTTCTCTAGAATGAGTGAGTTTTTCCATTGAAGAGAGTGTATATAAATGCACTTTGGATATTGAAGGAAATGGAAATATACTTAGAATTGTGGTTTAAAAGATCATAAATCCAAGTGAGCAAGAATTATAATTATCTATTGAGGTTATACTGTTTCAGTAACTGAAGTGAAAAAATGTTCTCATGAAACTCAGAAGACTAGCAAACTTTGGTTTCCATATTTAATCAAGAAAAACACTGCTTCCTTTTTTCCTTGGCAGGACAGTATTTAAAGCATGGATTCAGTGTTGTCAGTATTTTTCAAAGTACTTGTACTACTATTTACATGTAAAAGTAATTGGGATGCCTGGGTGAGTTTCATACTGTTGATAGTTCACATTATAAGCTGAAAAGCAATGGATGGAAACTAATCAGGAGAGAAGCAACCTAGTACTAAGGAGAAATTTTCTGATAGTTAGAACAATTAATCAGTGGAACATCTTGTCTCCCGAAGTTGTGAATGCTCCAACATTGGAACTTTTAAAGAAGA